CCCCCCCCCCCCCTCCATCTCTTTCCGTAAATGAGGTAATAACCTGTTTAGTTGTAATCTAGTTGATATATTTATCTATCTATCAAATCTATAGATCAGACACACCAGCAAATCCAGTATCCTCAGACGCAGCTGTGCGACCCTCCCGAAACTTGGTTAGTAATCGAAAGCTTCAATCTAAAATCAGAATATTTTGATAGAGTAACGTTTTTTTCTTTACTAGCGTTTAATCTGGTAGCGTTTTCTAAGTGTAGCGTTGTTGAGCTATGCGTTTTATATATGTACGTTTTATTAGTTTAGCGTTTTTCTAGTATGATCTTTTAATTATTCATTAAGACAACAGTAAGTTATAATTTTAATAATTTCAACTTAACCAGAATTCAGAGTTGTAGAAATATTTTCAGATGCAGTATGAAAGTTTAAGTTATGACAATGTTTCAATACAAGTTTAGCGAATAGTTCAGTTTAAGGTATGACAATGTTTCTATACAAATTGGGCGAATAGTTGAGTTTAAGGTNGATAGATAGATAGATAGATAGATAGATAGATAGATAGATAGATAGATAGATAGATAGATAGATAGATAGATAGATAGATAGATAGATAGATAGATAGATAGATAGATAGATAGATAGATAGATAGATAGATAGATAGATAGATAGATAGATAGATAGATAGATAGATAGATAGATAGATAGATAGATAGATAGATAGATAGATAGATAGATAGATAGATAGATAGATAGATAGATAGATAGATAGATAGATAGATAGATAGATAGATAGATAGATAGATAGATAGATAGATAGATAGATAGATAGATAGATAGATAGATAGATAGATAGATAGATAGATAGATAGATAGATAGATAGATAGATAGATAGATAGATAGATAGATAGATAGATAGATAGATAGATAGATAGATAGATAGATAGATAGATAGATAGATAGATAGATAGATAGATAGATAGATAGATAGATAGATAGATAGATAGATAGATAGATAGATAGATAGATAGATAGATAGATAGATAGATAGATAGATAGATAGATAGATAGATAGATAGATAGATAGATAGATAGATAGATAGATAGATAGATAGATAGATAGATAGATAGATAGATAGATAGATAGATAGATAGATAGATAGATAGATAGATAGATAGATAGATAGATAGATAGATAGATAGATAGATAGATAGATAGATAGATAGATAGATAGATAGATAGATAGATAGATAGATAGATAGATAGATAGATAGATAGATAGATAGATAGATAGATAGATAGATAGATAGATAGATAGATAGATAGATAGATAGATAGATAGATAGATAGATAGATTCATTTATTACCTTAACCTAAACCTTGTTAACATTATTTGTACAATGTTCTACCAAATTCATTTACACCACGAGATACATAGATAGATAGATAGATAGATAGATAGATAGATCAATAAATGTTTATATAGATTGAAAGATAGTTAGATAGATAGATAAATAGAATAATAAATGTCTAAATAGATTGAAAGATAGATATAGAGAGATATATATAGATTGATAGATATATAGATAAATAGATAGACGGATACTTAGATAGATCAATGTAATTCCGGCACTCAGAAACATATCTTAGCTATTTATATCGTTTAGAGGAGTGTGCATGTGCCGGAAATATATGGATAATAGAAAAATAGATAAATAGTTTGATGGAAATCTATATATAGATAAATATGTATATATATATAGATACTTATGTAGATATATCGATAGCAAGATAAATAGATGAAAAGATAAATAGATAAAAAAAACCCAGATTATCTGATAAAAACATGAAATCATCACCAGGGGCCTTTACAGGAATTGTTCCAGGGGGGGGCTTACAATTTATTCCATGTAATGCAGGGGTGGAAGGGTTCTTAGAACCTGTTTTGGCCTGAAAACCCCCTGGAAACCAGGAAGAGGAGGGGGCTGAGCCCGGCCATACCCCCTTCTGTATACGCTTCTGATCATCACCGTCTATGGCCATAAGACATTTTCATCTCCAATTCGTTTTTCATTTCTTTATCCATGCCTTTAGCAATGTATGGTTACCATTAGAATGAAACCTTAACGAGGACCTGAATTTCTTTAAATATGATGAAATGAAAGTTTGATTTGGACTTAACTTAACTCAGGTTTTAAAGCTAATAAAGATAGACCCTGCAAAGTGTACACCTGCTGCAGGCTTAAAGAAACTTTATTCCTCACAGTCGTCTCTTAAGTCTCATGTTTTGTGTGTAACCCTGTATACGTTGAAGAAATTTTTAATTTGTAGGCTTTTAGGGCCACCCTGAACTAACCAGAGAGAGAAGCAGTCGGTTTCTTTTATTTGAAATCAAACGTGTTTTCGTCTATAACTCAACAGTCTAAACTTACAGATTTGTTTATTTTATACTTTTTCATTTAAAATGTATATGCCAACAAAAAAGTATTTAAGATAAAAGACTATGAAATTATGCAAAAGGGGTCAAATTGTGGTAGAAAGTCACAGTTTTCTGAAATATTGACAAAACCGCGTTAAATCCACGTGGGGCGCTTCGCGCCGATCTTCTATTTAAATTGTGAACACTATCTCTTTGTATACATTATAAAACAAAATCAAAAAAGTGGATTTTCAAAATTTATGGAAATCATACATAAACCTTCCCTTTTGTTGTGATCGGTTCGGCCATTTTGACGTTTATTAGTTACAAACAAACACACAAACTGACAAGCAAAGTATATATGGGAATCAAGTAAATTCTATTTACCAAGGATTCCCTCCACCAATTTTGCCTTTGGCTTATCAAAAGCGCAGCGAGGAAGTTTTTTTAAGTTATGAAATGTACAGACTACAGCTGTACAGTTGTACGAAAGTACAGGAGAGTATAGGAAAGTACACTCTGAGTGCAAAACTTAAAAAATTTTAAAACTCGCTACGATACCCGGTTTCCTGAAACCCGGGTTTGGCAGAGTTCGGGTTTCATGTTCTTAAAACATATTTTGAAACTCTAGGAAACTGGGTTAAAATATGCTGTAGTTGGAGTCTCCAGCTGTGGTGTTTTATGAATAAAGCTGCTACGCACTTGAAAGTGATAAAATTGGTATCCGTTTTTTGGCGTAATAGTCGGCCCATCCAAGGAAAGATTTAAATTTACACTCTTATAATGTCCAGAAAGGTGGAGCTACAGATTTTTTTAAACATCTGTAGTTGTCATCAGATACATTTGTGAATTTGCTGAGACTTTCTTTTAGTTTAAAGAATATTTTTGGTACTAATTAAACTTTAAAAAAGTTTTTAAAAAATTCTAAGGCTACAATTTTTTTTTCTGTTGCATTCTAAATTTTTACAATATCACTAAGATTTTTAAGCAAAAGTGATTTACAAGACTTTTTGAAAAAACTATTTTAATGTATTAGGTAGATTAATGTTAATTTTTCTTCGGCAGTCTATTGCAGATATTATTATTTAGACTTCAGCTAACATTTTTGAGAAGCCAGTGGTAAAAGGATATTAAAATATGTGTCATTTGTTATTTTTTGCAATGAAAACAAAAAAATTGAATTTTCAACAATTTTCAGAACTTTGTCTCATTGAATCAAACATTGAAATATAGATGTATGTTTAAATCAATGATTCTTAAGGATTTTTAAATGTTTCAGAAAATTGTAGATGTTAATGTTGTTTGGGATTATGAATTATACAGGCTGATGTATGTCAAAAGAAAAAGACATATTTATCAATAAAATTAATATTTATTTTGTATTTTTTCAAGGTTAGGAAGGCTGGGTTAGGAGAATTTCTGGACCAAGCGCTGAGAATAGGACAGGCTGGGAGCCAAGCGCTGCGGCTATAGAACAGACTAGATTGCCGAGCGCCGCAGCTATGACAGGTTAGGGTGCAAAGCGCTCCGGCCACAAGTCCAATTATATCCATGTGTTTACAATGAGCATGTATACATGTCATTATGAGGGGGGAGGGGGGGGGCGGGGTCTAGAATCGTTCTCTAAGAAATTACCTAGATGACTAGCACCAAACATGATGCGTCACTAAAGGGGCGTTAACAAAACGTAAATTGTTTACAAAGATAAAATAAAGAACATTTCTGAAATGATCACAATTCTCTCTTTCATTTCACTGAAATATTGAAAACAATTTCCAAATTATGATATCCTAGCAGATAAACCTAAATAAATTACTGTATTCACTTTTAACAGAAAAATGTTTTAAAGTTCGATTTGACTGTACTCTATTCACTATCAAGTCTATAGAGAGAGAGATCTTAACTGATCAAGTATTTGGAACATATATGAAGCCATTTAAAGCATAAATACGAAGAAATGGTGCTTCATATGTTCCACAATCACTACAAAACTCACTTTCCCAGCAGTAACCCTACTCCTACACAAGGGTTTCATTTTGAGGTATTGCCCCGTAACATTCTGAGTTTCCGGAGTTTCCCAAAACCCTTACGAAACTCAAACCCAGACTTAAGAGAGCTAACCCGGTTTCGTGGCCAGGTTTGGTTTCGGATACCCGGTAAATTTCTTTTAAGGTTTGCCCTCAGGAGACTTTAATGTCGACCATAAGGTTGTAATGCAAGGAAAGTTAATTGCAGTTGCGTATACTCTGCCTACATTTTGGAACCGGTTCTCTCTGGGCGGAATTTGTAAACAAGAAGAGATGCATCAGTGTTCGTTTAGTATCCGAGGAGGTTAAAAGCATTAAATCTTGATAATTTTGATAATTCACATAATAGTTTCCAATGACCGGAATATTTCATTGATTATTTATGTGAAAGATGGATCCCATGTCAGGCTGTAACATCCGTCTTGTGTTTACATTACCGCCCAGAGACAGTACACTGCAGTACAAAAGATGTGTACACCTCTGAAATAACTTTCCTTGCATTATAACCTTGGTCGAACCTGTCTTTAGAATTGATGCACATACAAAACTTTTCAAAGCACATAGGACTATTTGCCTCTAATACTTTGAGAACCAGAAAATAACAGATTAGGAAGACGACATTTAACACTGCTTAATTGTGTTTGACGTTGTTGCAAATAAAATAGTTTTTTTTTCTAGTATATAACTTATTAAATGACTAATTAAGTTTTGGTTCTGTTAACATTGTTCAATTGATGTGTCTTAAGAGTCTTCTGGTTATCACTGCAGTACATTTCATTGATATTATGGGTTTCTACAGTAGGAAGAACTTACAGTATTTGCTGAGAATTGCATTGATTTATTTCCCAGTATTATATACAGGATAATAGTTTAGAGAAGAACTTCCAGTTTGTGACGTCATACTTCCGATATTACGAGTCCCGACATTGCTCAAGGGGCAGAGCGTGGAATTGACTGTAATCTGTACATAGTTGGAAAAGTTTGTTCTTTTAATAAGGATTAAAACATGCAAGGAAGATGAGCCGAGGAAACCCCCGTATATCTCTTTGTTTATAAAATAATTGTACTTATTTGATGAGTACAGAAACTGCAGTACATTTTTTTTAATGTAAATAAAGCTGTTCCTGGTGTGTATTTCTAGCAACGATAATATATATATAGATATGCAGACAGGTATAAATTTAGAGGTCTTGAGATAATGAGCACAAAGCACCATCTCTGTCGTACGCATGGCATTTTATCCTCTGGATTGTTGCTAATTTATCACTTTGTTTATGCGTGATAACACTAAATGCGTACTATTGTATCAACAATGTATACTGCATATTGTACTTAATGAAACAAATTAATCAATGCAAATAAATCTGAGGTAGGAATTTGACTAGACAAAGTTTAAATGTGCAAGTTGTACTGAATGGCATACGTAAATTAACGCAATTTAAATAAAAATTATGACTATAAAAGTACATCGAGTCTAGGACAAATTACAACTGATCTGATCATAACATAAACAAAACGCGTACTGTATGTTTGTGTTACCTTGAAATTTAATTTTATTGGTCAAAAAGGTCCAGATAGCAACACTTGAACTATACAGGATGCAATACGCGTACTGTATGTTTATATAACACAAATGCGTATTTCCTACAGATAGCAGAAAGGGGAGAAAGGCATATAGAAAGTAATCAATTTGCTATAGATGTCTCTTTGTGCACATTTTTTCAGAGGTTCAAAAATTAGTTGTCTGCTACAGGCAATTTAGGAAGGAGGTTTCTACCTGCCTGCATATCTATATATATATTATCGTTGATTTCTAGTGAGTTTGAGAAAAAACTAGGGTTTTCAGCGAAAACTAAAAATCGTTTCGCGAAAAAAAAAATTTTGCGATCATTTCGCTTCATTTTCGCATTTAGTTCTCTTTTAAAAAATGCGAAAATTTCGCGATCTAAACATGATTTTAAGGATATAAGGAAAAGGAGCCCAGGAACCACCGTATATCTCTTTGCAACAAGGTTGACGTAATCAGACTTTAGATTGAATTTACTTTTACTAAAGGGTCAGAGGTGCGTGGTACAAACGACTTGAAACGCTACAAGCTCAAATAAACTCTTCTGCCAAGAATGTGATCTTTAATAGCTTATCAAATGATTTGGCTAATAAGAAAACAAGTTTACAGTTGCAGGATCTCATGAATAAAAGGAAACATGTTTATAACAGTTGTAGGAAATCATGAATAAAAGGAAACATGTTTACAGTTGTAGGAAATCATGAATAAAAGGAAACATGTTTACAGTTGTAGGAAATCATGAATAAAAGGAAACATGTTTACAGTTCGAGGAAATCATGAATAAAAGGAAACAAGTTTACAGTTGTAGGATCTCATGAATAAAAGGAAACATGTTTACAGTTGCAGGATCTCATGAATAAAAGGAAACATGTTTACAGTTGTAGGAAATCATGAATAAAAGGAAACAGACAGTAATTTTCTGACAGTCGTCTCTGTAACCCTGAGTCCGAATATAATGAATTTGAGCTGCGTCTCAAATCCGCCAAAAACCGGTTCTAATTAAGTTTCAGCTTAAATCTTGAAACATTCAATACAATTTTAAGCGGGACTAAACATATTTGAGCCGCGGCTCAAATTCTTGTAATTTGGCTCTGTATATGTATAAACCGTGTCTATGTATTGATTATATCTATATAAATGCTATTACGCTCAATCTAAGATAATGGTCTTAATTGTTTATTATGTTTAGCTACATTGTTGGATATTTAGTGGTAATGGGAGGAGGGGGGGAAATCAATGATTTGTAAGAACAAGGGGGGGGATTGATGGACTCTGATAGCGGGTGAGGATTGTGTACTAGATAACTAATTATATATATACAAATAAGAATATAATCTATTTATTGATAACAATGGTCTTAACAACATTATCAGTTATTTTAGCTTCCAGTGCTCCAATATCAGCCACTACTTTCTCACCGTCCTAAAGTATTTCATATTATTCATAAATATTATTGGGTCCGATAACCGTCAAAACGGCTAAAACAATCATGCCAAAAATATTACAATGACCCCAGAGACGGCCATGGCTATTGTTACACGACAAAATCGTCTCGTTCTGAGCTCTCCACACAGAAGAGAAATTGAAACTCTTAAAATATGACGAATCCAAGTTTAAATCAAGTCTTGTGCCTTAAATATAGTATCCCAATGGCTTATTTAATGATTTGGCATAGAAAGAAACAAGTTTACAGTTGAGGGAGCCATACATATAAAGAAATAGAAAGTGTAAAGTCACTGAGACGACCTCCCTAAGTTTCTTCCTATGTGGGTAACCCTGTAGGTAAAACGACATAGGGTCAAAAAAAAACGGTCAGAAACACGACAAAGGGCCAAAATGACACAAATATTTCTTTTAATTTAGTCTTATAATGGTTAAATGATGTCTTACACCTTAGTTTGGGTTTAGTCGTGTTAAAACAATTTCTGTTCCGAGCGCTGCGGCTAGGATTAGGGATGTTAACGTTTTCATTTTTTTGAAAAACGATCGTTTTTTTTTTTTTTTTCCTATAGTTTTTTGTTTCGATTTCCATTCGTTTTAAAAACTATCGTTTTTTAAAAAAAATTTTTAAAACGATTGTTTTAAAAATGATCGAAAAACGAAACAAAAAACGATAGGAAAACGAAAAAAACGATTGTTTAACGATCGTTTTCAAAAACGATCGTTATTCTTTTTCTAAAAGTTCAAAATGGATGAAAAACTAAAAAAACGATTGTTTAACGATCGTTTTCAAAACGATTAACAACCCTAGCTAGGATGGGCTAGGGGACCGAGCTGCGGCCTCTTAAATGCAGTTAAATTATGTGCTGTCTCTCAGAAAATTTGTTTTGCCCGTTTGTCGCACTTTTTGACCCTCATTTGTTTGACCCTATGGCATTTGACTCTAGGTTGTTTGAGTTTTGATCCTATATTGATGAATATATATTTATAATTAATTAACCAATATGTTAATAAAATTACCAGTTTTGAATTAACAAACCTGAATTGTTTTCTCTGCTTCTGCAGCTAGTTTTGCACCTTCCTCTAGTATCTCTTCTGCTGTATTCACAACCTTAGTTCCATCATCTACTACTACCTACAGTTAAATTTCATCTTTAAAGGGATTTTTTACTCTTAAAAAAAAATAAGATTTTGGATCAATAACACTGACTAGTAACAAGTAAAAATCTGCCAAAATAACCATCCTCTGATATCCGATAAATTTCCGTTGATTTTTGATAGCCGGCCTTCCCTCTATCCCTTTTGTAAGTTTTTTTGTGTGGGTTTTCTCAATAACTTAAAACCTCGTTACACAATAATTCTCAAACTTAATTACTTTCCCAACCTAGAAATTAAGAACTTTCTAAAAACCTTACCGACACTTTGACTTTTAAAGTTAGGTGTGTAAAATTTCCGAAATTGGTAAGATTTAAAAATTTGACTGGGGTTAAAGACTGCATTTTAGACAATTTTTATAGATTTGATTTTCCTAGATAAAGATTTATTTAAACAAAAAAGTATATATATTTAATTTCCCGAATTTCTAGCTCTATGTCAGAGGCACTGTAGGTTAGTGTTTGTTAGCTTAATAAACACTACCCCCTCCATCTTACACTTACAGTGAGAACGAACAAAGATTGTGGAATAAGAAGACGACATTATAAATAAGAAGACGACATTGTGAATAAGAAGATGACATTGTAAATACTGTAGTGTATATGAACTGTTACAAAGCAAATAGTTTCAACTACAGTAGATCTCACATAAAGGGTACATAGTAAGAGAGAAATGTCGTCTTGAAATTTATTTAAAAGTTTATGACAACTGTTATGCTTTATCATGTGAAGAAAGCTGCTCAGATGTTCGCAGCTTCAAAGGTTGATTACAATGTATTAAAACATATCAAAATATGTCCTATGTTGTGAGTCATAATTTTTTCATAATTCTTAAGTTTTTATTTCAATTCTTATTTCAAGGTGAATAAGCAGGACATCAATTAATATAGTATCCTCGTTTATCCGCGGCATTTGATCTTAAATAGGTTGAGAATACGATGTTATAAAAACTCTTTCTATTAATCAATATATCTAGGATTCACTGTAGTAAATATTAAATCACTTATTATGTGAAATTGGTCCGTTTAAACTGCAAAATTGCTAGGAGTGACGTTCAATGGACTTTTAAAAGTCAAAACTTAAAAAATTAAAAGTCGTCTTCCTATTCCAGAGTTTTCTGGTTCTCACTGTAATTCTATTTTTTCAATCTTTGGTTAGAATAAGAAGTTTGTTGAGAATATTAAGAATTGTGCAAGGGTTGTTTAATGTGAGATTCTATTACTCCGTTTGCCCAAAAAGTAACAACCTCTTACTCTTTTACAAACAGTTCATGTACATTGCACATTGTTTTGTACAACATAACATACAATAGCTAAGTATCAATATTGAAAGATTCGATGAACAAAGAAATCACAAATGGGGAAATTTTAAAGTCCGATTCTCAACTTTTGAACCTAGTAAAATAATTCCTTCGATATCCTTCACCACAATATGGTGTAAAATAATTCCTTCGATATCCTTCACCACAATATGGTGTAAAAGGCTGAACCTCACATGCCATTCTACAAAGAAGAGACCACTTGAAATATATTTACCTTTACGTCATCTAGTAGTTGTTGGGCCTCAGATAGATCATCTTTAACAGCTTCAAGTACACTATCAGCTGTCTTTAGCACAGTAATAGCTACCTACAGTACATATTTATTCAGCTACTTTAGTACTGTAGCTACTTCCATATGTATTAAGTTACTTTAGTACAATAAAAACTACTTATAGTTCATATATTTTCAGCTACTCTAGCACAGTAGTAGCTACCTACAATACATATATTCAGCTACTTTAGTAAAGTATAGTACATATTTATTCAGCTTCTTTAGTATAGTAATAGCAACCTTATCTAGCACATATGTATTCAGCTGCTTCAGTACAGTAGTAGCTATACATACAGTAAATTTATATTCAGTTGTCTTTAGTACAGTAGTAGCTACCTATAGTATATATATTCTGCTTCTTTAGTACAGAAATAGCTACCTAGAGTGAATATATGTGAAGCTATTTTAGAACAGTAATAGCTACCCACAGTTTATATATATTCAGCTATTTAGTACAGTAATACTATAGCTACATTAAGCTGCTTTAGTACATTAGTATTACAGCTAACTTCATACCTATAGCTAGCTACAAGCATATATTTTAATACTCAGCTGTTTAATTTCATAATGTTTACCTACTCTTTTAATGTTTATTCAGCATGTATATATATTTCTATTCTTATTCAAGATTATGTTTTGACTGTATATGTATATAAATCTGCAATTCAATTCAAAATAATTTAAAATGATTTCTTTGGAAAAGTTTCCAGCATTTATACCTTGTCTGCCAGTTCAACTGCTTCCTCAATAGATTCAACAACCTTCTTCACACTTCCCTCAATGTTGTCTACAGTACTACTTCCTTCAACAACATATTTTACAATGGTTTCTTGAGACGCCTTTGCAGCAATGGCTTCTTCAGCAGCCTTTGCACCAACGGCCTCTTCAGCCTGTTTTTCAGAAGCGTCTTCTTCAGCCTGTTTTGCAGCAGCCGCTTCTTCAGCCTGTTTTGCAGCAGCGGCTTCTTCAGCTTTCTTTGCATTAGCGGTTTCTTCAGCAGCCTTTACAGCAGCAGCTTCTTCAGTGGCCTTTGTAGCAGCGGCTTCTTCAGCTGCCTTTGCAGCAGCGGCTTCTTCAACTGCCTTTGAAGCAGCTTCTTCAGCTGCCTTTGAAGCAGCTTCTTCAGCTGCCTTTGAAGCAGCTTCTTCAGCTGCCTTTGAAGCAGCTTCTTCAGCTGCCTTTGAAGCAGCTTCTTCAGCTGCCTTTGCAGCAGTGGCTTCAGCTGCCTTTGCAGCAGCGGCTTCTTCAGCCTGTTTTGCAGCAGCGGCTTCTTCAGCTTCTTTCGCATCAGCGGCTTCTTCAGCAGCCTTTGCAGCAGCAGCTTCTTCAGTGGCCTTTGCAGCAGCGGCTTCTTCAGCTGCTTTTGAAGCAGCAGCATCATCAGCAGACTTGGAAGTGGCCGCATCTGATGCAGAATCGTCATTTGAAGCTTCTAATGGTGAATTTTTCTCTGGAATACTAAACAAATACATTGACAGTGACAACCATTTTTTTCCAAGAGAAAAAAAAGAGTTTTTTTTACCTGACAACAGGAATAGTAATGGTTTTATAAAAAGCTGGCAAAGGATTCATCTCTATGATAAGCAGGAAGATGGAGAGGGACAAACTCACAGCGCTTATACCAGCTGGAATATCAATCAATCAATCAATTAATCAACCATTCAATAATTTATTTAATTAATCAATCTACACTAAAAACATTAATTAAATTAATCAACCATTCAATAATTTATTTAATTAATCAATCTACACTAAAAACATTAATTAATGAACGCACTAAAAGAAAAATGACATTTTCTTCAAATCATACATCTATGAAATTTTAAAATATCAGAACTTACATAATTACCCCCCCATCTTTCTAAATAATGTTGAGACTTTATTACAACATACATTTTCATCATAATGGGGATCTTTGAAACACAAGGGATTGGGGAATAATAAATATTCATCTTTAGCGGTCAAATTCATAGAAGATTTTCTTTTATTAAGATTAGAGTGATAAAGATAAAATTACCTGCAAGATGAAGATTATATCTTTTCTGATTCTTTTCAAAAACATGTTTCCAAGAGTCTCTAAAATTATTAATTTATTTCCTATTTTTCAGAGTGTTTACGCTATACATAGAATGGTAATAAGAACTATAAATAAACTGGAATGATATTAATGATATTGATTGACTTCAGAGTCGTTTTTACCCTATGAAGTTTGCGGCAATATCAGCAACCTAATTTGCACAATTTTTCAATGTTTTTAAGGTTGTTAAGTATACACAAAAAAATTAAAATCCTGAAAAACCTGGATCGATTTTTAAGGGCTGATCCTGGTACTAATTGTCAATTTGGATCTGAATTGACAATTATAAACGAATCTTTTAAGAACTTTTAAAATTACAACCAGGCGCGCAACTAGACATTTTGTTATTGGTAGGCAAGATGTAAACATTTTGCGCGAAGCACGAACATTTTTTTGCCCCTTAACATTTTTAGGGGGGGGCAAGAAAAATGTGTATAATACTCAAAAAATAAAAAACTAACCTTACCAACCGTATATTAAGTATGACCCCATCTGATATGAAATAAAAAAAGAAATCTATCAAACAATTGTTTTAGTTACAGGAAAATGCCTTAACCCTATCCCTGCTGGGGTACTTGAAAACCAGGATACGCTGGGGGGGGGGTCAATTTGACCCCCCCCTCTAAATCCCATGTTTTATGTCCAAATATGACAAATGATACATCATTAGAAAGCTCTTGTGCTCTACTTTTAGAATCTGCAAAAAAATTTGCAAATTTGCGAAAATTGAATTTTTTATCGCAAAATCCAGTTTTATAGTAAAAATGTTTGCAAAAAAAAATTTGTCCAAAAAATGACAAATTATACATTTTTGAAAAGCCCTTAACCATGCCATTTGCAATTTTTTTTTCGCAATCCGTTTCCTTATGTCATAGGCTTTCCAAAAAGCTAAATTTTATCAAAATCTGATAAGTGAAAGTGGGTCAAAACAAAGATTTAGTTTGTTACAGGCAAAAGCAGTCATTCAGGCAGTGTGCCTGAGGACTCAGGCAGTTAGTATTAAAGCCCGGTTTTAGGCCTAAAGGGAGGGCTTTGAGTATGTAAGAAAAGTCAGAAAATTTCAACAGCCTCAGACCAATACTTTTTGAGTTATGTAAAAAAAACTACAGGGGGGGGTCAAATTGACCCCCCCTCAGCGGGAATAGGGTTAAAAAGAAGGGGTGGGGGGGGGTGAAGGGTGTATTCTATGCTGTCCCATATAAATGCCTCATAATTTACAGTTGCAACATCCTACATTTTCGTTTACATAACGAATGCAGAATGAAAGATATTGGTTGAATAAGCTGTTGCTTCATCTGCTTTGAAGCAGTAGAATTTTGCAGATTTAACCTCATTCAGAATAGATTTTAGGACAAAGTCTTCACCTTTATTCAAGCAATAATTTACTTTATCATTAAGTAGTCCATGTTTTCAGCCCCCTCACCTCCCCCAACAAAAAGAAAAATTATCTTAAACTTTAATTTGTTATTTTGCTATTCCTATAATTTTAATCAAGCTATTCTGCATTTTCCAGGAGACCATTGTTATTGATCCATTCTTTTCAGCTTTTTTTAATTGAACTATAAGCTCATTAAACTAACGTTCAATTATCTTTTTTTTTTATTTTACATTCAGAGCTCTTAACTTTGCTCAGGGTCAGGATTCATGAATCGCTAAATTGCAAAAAAGGGTGGACTTCTTCCCCCCCCCCAGTTGCGCGCATGATTACAACTTAAATTCTAAATTAAAAGTAATTTTAAAGTTCAAATACAAGTTTATATAAAAGTAACGATGCATTCTATATGATCTAAGATTAAATAACATAAACATAATCTTTTTAATTCAACGATTTTACTTACTTAGGGACTCCTAATTCGTCAATACTGGGTCTGCTCCAATTAACCAAGGCTTTGTTTCTGAATAATAATTCTGCATTTCAGCTGCGCATGAAATTGTAGGGTTTTCCAGAATAACATGCGCTGGACATCAGGGTAACCCACAACGAATGAGACATTAAGATGACTTAAAAACTCTTAAAACATAATGATTTACAGGTTGCACTTGGCTTTCTGCCTTCTATATTATTTAGAAGTTGTATTCAAAAGGTTTTGATTTTTGTAAAATTTGAAAATGCGCGAGAAAATATTAAAAAATCCGCGAATTTTTTGTTTGTTATTGTTTCATTAAATCATAATGTACAAAGAGGAGGTGCTCACAGATAGAGCCACCAGGGTTTTTGGGGATAGGCCCCAAAAATCCTATTTAATATGCATACTTAATGGTTTGAAAATGGTTTGGTACAGGCAAGAAAAATATTATTTTACAGATGAAGGGAAACACAAAAATAAGAATAAAGACTGAAAATTTTTTGAAGTGGTCTCTAAAGTCTTCTCCTGCTTGAGTAATCCTGTTTTTTTGAGGGGGGTCTTTTAAAAGGATCTTCAAAGATGTGAAAAGTCAATAGTGGAATCCATATAACTGTGGAATAAGAAGACGACTGTTAGTCTCAAATCATGATATCAAATACACAAGATTGCTTAATTATCGTCTTCCCATTCTAAAGCTTTAAGGATCACAACTCTAACTGTTTAATTTTTAAATTCTAATAAGAGACAAAAAAAGAAAAAAACTTTAAAGACTGAAAGAGCGAAAATCCAGCTTTCAAATTGTATCATTCTTTTGTAAGTTAATTTAGTTTCTTTTATAATAACCATTATTAATATGATATTAATTATATTAACCTGATATTTGAAGAATGAATCTGTTTTGTTTGCAATAAATAAGGAAGACATCTTGTCCGAAGCACGAGACGAGCTTGAGATATTTCCCGCATTTTTCACTGAAAAGTTGAGGTTTTATTGCTTTGAAAAAGAGTACAAACTTGAAGACGACATTTACATTCTCGATAATGGGTTTGTTCATGTCACACACTACACAGTGGAAAAACTTTAAATATTTCTATCAATATTCAATATTGTTGCTTGTACAAATAAAAAAGTGTTTGAAGTTGCATTAGTCAGGTTAGTCTGTCCGGCTAATTTGTCAGGTTAGTTTTTCAAGTTAGTTTGTCTGGTTAGTTTGTCTGGTTAGTTTGTCTGGTTTCTGGTCAATTTTTCAGGTTAGTTTTTCAGGTTATTTTTATCAGGTTAGTTTATCAATCTAGTTTGTCAGGTGAGTTTGTCAGGTTAGTTTGTCAGGTTAGTTTGTCAAGCTAATTTGTCAGGTTAGTTTGTCAGGTTAGCTTGTCAGGTTAGTTCGTCAAGTTAGTTTGTCAGGGTAGTTTGTCTGGTTAGTTTGTCTGGTTAGTTAGTCAGGTTAGTTAGTCAGGTTAGCTTGTCAATTCAGTTTGTCAGGTTAGTTTGTCAGGTTAGTTTGTCAGGGTAGTTTGTCTGGTTAGTTTGTCTGGTTAGTTTGTCTGGTTAGTTTGTCTGGTTAGCTAGTCAGGTTAGTTTGTCAGGTTAATTTGTCAGGTACAGTCTGTCAGGTTAGTTTGTCAGGTTAGTTTGTCAGGTTAGTTTGTCAGGTTAATTTGTCAGGGTTTTTTGGTCAGGTTATTTGGTCAGGTTAGTTTGTCTGTTGAGTTTGTCAGGTTAGTTTGTCAAGTTAGTTTGTAAGGTTAGTTGATCAGGGTATATTATCAGGTTAGTTTGCCAAGTTAGATTGTCAAGTTAGTTTGTCAGCTTAGTTTGTCAAGTTAGTTTGTCAAGTTAGTCTATCAGTTTTGTTTGTCTAGTTAGTTTGTCAGCTTTGTTTGTCTGGTCTGGTCAGTATGTCTGGTTAGTTTGTTAGGTTAGTCTGTCAGGGTAGTTTGTCAGGTTAGTTTGTCAGAGTAGTTTGTCAGGGTAGTTTTGTCCAGGTAGTTTGTCAGGGTAGTTTGTCAGGTTAGTTTATCCACTTAATTTGTCAAGTTAATTGTTGGGTTAGTTTGTCGTCAGGTTTGTTTGTCAGGTTAGTTTGTCAGGTAAGTTTGTCAAGTTAGTTTGTCTGGTTAGTTTGTCAGGTTAGTTTATCAGATTACTTTGCCAGGATAGTTAGTCAGGTTAGTTTGTCTAATTAGTTTGTCAGGTTAGTTTGTCAGGTTAGTTTGTCTGGTTAGTTTGTCTGGTTAGTTTGTCAGGTTAGTTTGTCAGGTTAGTTTGTCAGGTTAGTTTTTCCAGTTAGTTTGTCAGGGTAGTTGGTCTGGTTTATAGTTGTCAAGTTAGTTTGCCAAGTCAGTTTGTCAGGTTGGTTTGTCTGGTTTTTTTTCAAGTTAGTTTGTCTTGTTAGTTTTTCAGGTTAGTTTGTCTGGTTAGTTTGTCAAGTTAGTTTTTCAGGCTAGTTTGTCTGGTTAGTTTGTCAGGTTAATTTGTCAGGTTAGTTTTTCAAGTTTGTTTGTCAAGTTAGTTGGTCTGGTTAGATTGTTTGTTCAGTTTGTCTGTTTAGTTTGTCAGGTTAGTTTGTCAAGTTAGTTTGCCAAGTCAGTTTGTCAGGTTAGTTTGCCAGGGTTGTTTATCCGGTTAGTTTGTCTGGTTAGTTTTTCAGGTTAGCTTATCAGGTTAGTTTGTCAGGTTTGTTTATCAGGTTAGTTTGTCAAGTTAGTTTATCAGGTTAGTTTGTCAAGTTTGTTTATCAGGTTATTTTGTCATGTCAAGGTTTGGCCTAGGTTAGTTTAATAAAGTTATTTACAGTGTACGTTTGCGTATGCTTACATTATATATCAGGGCTGTAGACTGTATAGTGTATAGTGTATAGATACTATCATACTGCTTGAAATGTGAAGATGAACTACTCGTATGTTTCCAGGAGGAATTTCAAGCTTAGAAACAGAGACTGTATGTATAGTCTGGAAAACAGCTGAGAACCAGTTGTTGAAAACAGCTGATTTTATCTTATCATTTTTATTAAAAAAAGAGAAAAAATAACAATTGTTTTATTTTAATTATTTCAGTTTTTGTTCAATTTCTGATTCAGAGATTTTGGGCCCTCCTTTTTTTTTGACTGGGGTTTTTGGCCTGAATAAATGCGTATATATATATAAGAGCAACGTACAGGGAGTCCCACGAAACATGACAGTTGGTGAATAGTTTTAAATCTATTCTTCCTGTATTTATAGATATTAAAGACTTTTCGCAGTTTAATTCGTTAGAAAAATCTGTTACTCGAACATATTTTACTTTGAAAAAAACTATTCTATAATTTGACTGCTATTAGATATTGTTTACAATTCTTTTTGGTATCAAAATATAGAAGAAGACATTCTATACTATACACCAACTGTCATGTTTCGCGGGACACCCTCTACTAAATGCACTTTTCGAGTACTGTGGATTTTTAAATCAGTCTTAAACGTACTTGCCAAAAGACGCATATTAATTTACATCTAAGGTTAGCCTATAAATCAGACAAAAAAATTTCCTTTTTCCATTTAATCTATATGGCATTGCTATATATATTTTTTACAACGTTTGGATTTTTTTACCGGAGACTGCTTTCTTTTTTAATGTTATAAAAGATCAAATATATTTACTTCATAAGCGTATAATGATGATTTAAAAAGAACTGCTGGGGAACCCAGAATTGTCTGGAAATTTTATGATTTTCAATAATAAATCAAGGCATTCTTACATATGTTCCGTACAGCCGGCCAAACGGCTGGACTGAATGGGTGGATATTTTTTGAGGGAACCCATGGTACCCTGGAAGCATGGGCTAAACAAATTCTGAGATTTTTTTTGCAAAAATCGATTTTTTTTAAATCAATTTTTTTCACATTTTTTTATTCCACGGCCAACGCCGGGCCCTTTAGCTAGTTTTCTATAAAAGTCAAACCCACTCAACATATAGAATTGTTAAAACAAACTGAGAACATTACTTGGTTCTACCAAGTTTCCTAGTCTCCAATTCATGAGTTATGATCGGACATTCATACAAACAATAAAGAATAGAATTGAAAATCAATTATTTATTAACATACAGGGTGTCCCACATCATATTAGACCGTCAACGGGTCTAAATTGCAATTTTCGAGACTAATCAGAAAATTTAATAAGAATGAATGATTTTGAAAAATAACATAAGGCTTATATAAGAATTTTCTTGCACAAAATGATAAGTTTTTCGAGTATTAAGGGTTTATTTTGGCGTTAAAGATTGAAGATAATCTTATTTGATATGGGACGCTCTGTAGCTAGCTTAATTTACAATTTTGAAAAATTATTTCTTTTAATTTCTCAGTTCAAGACGACATTTAGAATATCTTTTTATTTCTCAGTTCCAGACGACATTCAGAATAAAGGTTCTAATTTGAAGAGGAGTTAGTTCTACCGGGCTTATATCCTCAACAGAACGGAAACCACTGAAAAAAGAGAAAACTTTTAAATAAAATTTCATAAAATTATGGTTATTTTTACCTTTCGTCATATTTGTTGTTGTTATTATCGTTGTTGATGTTCCAGTGTACTGCATGTTGTTTGGAGAATGATAACGGTGTTGCACCGGTTAGATTTTCTTCCTCCATTGTTACAATCTCGAATTCCGTAAACAAATTCTTAACAAAATAAGGAATGCATTTTTGGCCGATTTGTCAAATCTCAACTAAGTTTTAAACTTTCAATTTCAGTGAACTTAACCCTAAGAACGATATTTAATATCAAATTATATAAATCAGAACACACATTTAAAAAAAAAACATATTAACTGACCCTTAATTAACTCTCGTGGAACCAAGCTATTTTTATCGCACTAACGGACCAAGAGGGTGCCAAATTGACCCTACAATATTTTTTTCAAGTTTTAAATTATATATGGTTGTTTAAATTCTAGATCTTTGAAAAAAAAATTGATATAACTTTTTATGTATAGAGTAATCTGGCTTCAAAGTTCTAAAGCACCATGACTCTGGTCCAAATTGATCCCTTAACATTTTCGGCTTCCGAAGATATTTTTCATCTCTGTAATTCTAAATAAGCATATAGCATCGGGAAATGAGAAGAAAGAAAAAGTGTCCAGAGTCCGAATTTAATGAATTTGAGCCGTGTCTCAAATCCGCCAAAATCCGCTTTCAATTGAGCGCCTGCTTAAATCATGAAACATTGGATACAATTTTAAGTGGAACCAAACATATGTAAGACGCCGCTTAAATTTAAGCCGCAGCTCAAATTCTTTAAATTCGGCCTCAGGGCACTATTTATTAAAAATATTTATCTGCGAATATAAACATTATATTAATTCATATGATGATGTGTATATACTTTTCTATATCATACAATTTATCTGTCTACTGTCTATCTGCGAATATATATGTTGCCTATAGCCGGCCAAACGGCTGGACTGATTGGACTGAATTTTTGTATGGTCACTCATGGATGTTATAGGCTAAAAAAATCGATTTAAATTTTTTTTTTTCAAATTTTTTTCCACGGGCAACGCCGGGCCACTTGGCTAGTGATCCTTAATTATCAGCTATTCCTTCTATCTCTAAACTCTTTGAACGCCCCTGATCTAGTGTGAAGAAACTGACACTATAACTGCAAGTGCACCCTAGGAATCTAGACAAATTTTCAAATTTCAAAATTTCAAGTTTAACATATATTATGATTTATAGTTTGTTATTCATCTACGGTGGTAGGCGATTATATCAATACAATGAAGACGACTTTCAATTTCAATTTTTATTTGTATCCAGCTATTAAACAGCATAGATACACAAAAAATGGAAACAAAGATAAGCTGTAAATCAAAAAAGCTTCTTTTTAATTATTTGTAAACTTGTAATTCGAAAAAGGCTTGTTAACATAAAAACTTAAATAAAAAGTCGTCTTTATTATATTGGTAATATCGCCTACCACCTTATCTTTCTTTTGAAGTTACAGTTTTTATCTTTTATCAATCTTTTACTCATTTGTCATACATCGAGCATCAAATACTAGTGCCCTGCGTTACCCTGGCTACTCAAACCGCTGTATACCCACACTTGGCCTTAAATTATAATTTTAGCAAATCTATAAATGGTCAACCAAAGAGTTTTTTTTAATATAGATTATGGAATATTTGCAAGAACTGAGTTTTTGCTACACTCTCTGATTTTCTAATTCCGATATTCTAGACCTTTGATATTTCAAACTAGGAATTCTGGTGTACTAAATAATTTTAGTTGCAAAGATGATCAAAGCTTTACCTGTAGGTCAACATAAGCAGGTTCTGAATTTTCATCCTTGGAAAAGAAATTGATTTTTAATTAAGAATTCAAAAACTTTTGAATAAAATTGAGTTAATCTACATAATCTTCACTTCAGTTTAAAAATAAAGGACTTTAACTTACTAGATTTCCAAAACTGAATCTATCCCAAATCGTTTGAATTTGTAAATTGTCCAACTGTTCTTGCATGGCTACCTTCATAAATAACTTTTCTTGCATGGCTACCTTCATAAATAACTTTTCTTGCATGGCTACCTTCATAAATAACTGTTCTTGCATGGCTACCTTCATAAATAACTTTTCTTGCATGGCTACCTTCATAAATAACTTTTCTTGCATGGCTACCTTCATAAATAACTTTTCTTGCATGGCTACCTTCATAAATAACTTTTCTTGCATGGCTACCTTCATAAATAACTTTTCTTGCATGGCTACCTTCATAAATAACTTTTCTTGCATGGCTACCTTCATAAATAACTGTTCTTGCATGGCTACCTTCATAAATAAGTGTAATTTCAAAAGACTTTCCATTTAAAGAGGAGCAGCCCCGATTCCCAATGGTACCCTTTAAACCTTTGCCTGATGTCAGACATATCTATATAAATCTACCAAGGAGTATAGAATAGAAGGGAGATATAACTAACGCCTACCATTTGATTATACATGCTTTGCAGACGGTACTCTATTTGTATAAGAAATATTCAGAATAGGTTATTGTATAAGCGGTAATTGTACATCAGACAAATATTTCTTATTCAAATGAAGTACCGTTTGCAAAGCATGTATAATCATATGGTAGGACGGGCCGAGTCAGTTATATCTCCATTCTGTTTCATACTCCTTGAAATCTACTGATTTTAAAAAAAGTGGCAGAAAATACAGGCCGCAATCTAGAGGAATGCAAGTGGGTTCCATTATGTTAAAACTGATAATTCTTTCTACTCTATGAAAAGTCAATAAAGGTTTCAAGGGTACCGTTCCCCTTTCTTTGCATTGAGGGTCACTTGAAATTATGTTTAGGTCATTCCTTCCATTCAAAAGATTGCGGCTCTGAATTAAAATCTGAATTATGTATAGAACCTGAGCCATCATATTGTAGAGTCTAAGTAGAACTGTGGAACTATTTCTAACGGAAAGTGACAAAATCTAAAATAGAAAAAATGAAGAAAATTTTATTTTTTAAAATTTGTATGCACTTAAACCTGCACGTTTGCTGGAAGCTCCTTCTTTATACCACTATACTCCTGAAAAACATGGTGTTAGTTTAATTCAGGGGACATTAGTTCCAAACTAACACTTGGCCTATTTCTAACACTGAGTTAGAAATGGGCACATTTTCGAACATTTATTTTGTATGTTATGAACGAAAACGCGACAATGTTTCAAATTCAGGATATGTTCGAAAATGGAATATCTTACATTGTCTTGAAAGAGGTCAAGGGTTTTAATATAAATTATGATTTTTAATAATAATTTTAAAATTGGGAATTGTTATCCTCTTCATGCTTAATATAATGTTGGTTATAGTTTTTATAATCGACTTTGGCAGAATTAAAATATTTTCAAAATTTCGAAAACATATGNTCTAGACTCCCCACTATGGATTACTCTGCCTTCAATAATCACGCAAAGGTTTAAAGGTTCCATTGTGAATCAGGCATGCAGGTTACTTGAAATAACACCTATAGTTTCTGTAAAACAAAATTTCCAATTTCCTTATATAGGACTGCAGTAAATGCAATTTCAAATGACTCTTTATTTAAAGAGCTCCATGTCGGATTCACAGCGGTATCCTTTATACTCTATTTGTGTAAACAATGAGGTCGATATCATTGAACAAGTTTGCAAGTCATTTTTATATAAAAACCGCAATAAAAATAATCAATTTTTAGCAAGAAAAATAAGAATTTGTCCTTAATCAAGCAAAGATCTGTAGGAGCACTATTAAAACTCAAGCACATGGTAATCTATAAATGGGGACCACTTTAAGTATCGTACACGATCCCTTTTACCTGAAGAGATAATTGTACCCAGTTCTCTAGTGTTAGCTGGGTTGAAAGAAAGGATAGTTGAACGGGTAAATCATGCTCTAACATTTCACTCCGGGCCTAAATAGAAATAAAATAAAACAAATGTGTCTTCTATCTTTAAATACAATTTCCTTGTGTGTCCGTTTGTATCCAATAAACGTCAAACCGGCAGAACCGATCGGGCCTAAATTTTGTGTGGGACCTCACATGAACTATGGGAAATGTGCGCAAAAATATTCTTAAATCGCAAATTTTTTGTTTGTTTTTGTTTTATATTGTAAAAAGAGAAGATGCTCAGAGAGAGAGCCAAAATAAAAGTTGAAATATAGAAGATCCTCGGAGCCTAGTATTGTATAGTCAAGTTGATACACCAATCTTTGCCCTGTAAAAAGTGCAATTTTTCACATAATCGAATAAGCTGCACCAAATTCGAAATTAGCATTTATACAAAACCAGATTTTATTTTGGTCAGGAAAAAGCCGTGTTCAGTAAAGGGAGCGAAAAATGAAAGGGGGTATAGTTTCGCTGCAAGCCTATACCCCCTTTCTTTTTTCGCGAACACTTCTGACAATAAAAATTAAATTTGATCTAAAACGTACACGCCACCTGATATCCATGATTGTGAAAATTTTAATTTTCATTTTTAATCTGCTCGTGTTGGATAATATTACATTTTTGATTACAAATACGATGCTATATAGATAGAACTAATGTTTGATTGAACTAAAGTTAGCTGTCACTAGCCGACTTTAGAACAATTAAACAAATATGAATTTAGTTATGTCAATATGAACTTATGAAAAAACATATTTTATCACATTTGATAACTGAAGTCCTTTTAAACGTTAGTCTTGATAAACATTAATCTAAAACTTACGTTCGTTCAATCGATCATTAGTCAAAATGATATGACACCACAAATGCGACAAAATTAAAAACCTGCTTCAGAAAAGTTAAAGAACGCATCTCTAATCTCTAGAAATTAATCTAGAGACTATAAAATTAGTCTTGAGATTAGCAAAAAGAGAGGATCAAACATTGATCTCGATATCAACCATTCTAAAGTTTTCAGCTCTGATCTCTCTGTGGGCACTATTATACCTGATCCAATGAATGTCCTGTTAGAACACGATGTTGACCAACTACAACAAGTCCTGTCTCTTCACCATTAAATGTTTCTGTCTCATTCAGTGGTTCACCTACCCCGTAGCCATCATCATGTAGCAGGCGTCTAAACAGTTTAATATTTTGTGCTGGCTACTCATAATCTTGTGCACTTGATCTCGATATCGACGTGGACATTTTTATTCGAATCAATGTCTTGTCTCTTCATTTCTTCAGGGTACAATTACACTGTGGATATTGAATACCGATTGAATTACTTGAAAACTAAAAAGTTTGTTTATTTTTCAAACCACAGTATACAGTTGTAACCATAAAACTGAATGAGTTGACCGTTTACCAGGCTAGCTACTAGACTAGCTGTTACCTGTGTATAATGTGTTCAAATTGACCAGCTAATGGACTAGCTACTACCTGTGTAACGTAAGTTCAATTTGACCTTATTTAAAATCTCAAAAGAGTGAAATTAAGAACAAAACGTTGCTTAATAAAACGATTTGTAGTTGCATTTTAACGATTTCAAATCGTTATTTATTAAGTAAAAAAAATTTATAAGAGACGACTAAATCGTCTAAACTCAAATGTGAAATTAGGGACAAAAAGTCGTTTATAAAACGACTTTTTGTTGCACCTGTCAGAAGGTGGGTGGTGAGGATAGTAAAAGTAGGAGAGTGTTATGAATGCCAGAAACAAGCTAAAAACAATTAATTTAAAGAGAATCGATACCCATATTGTATTCCATGCGCACAGAATAAGCACAGTTTCTGGCATTCATAACACTCTCCGACCTTTGCTATCTTCAGTCCTCACCATCCACCTTTAGAAGAGTGCACATTTCGTAGTGAAAAAAGGCATTTTATACGTTCACAATTTTGTGTGGGACCTCGCATGACCCAGGAAATGTTTATGGATGCTCAAAATTACAAATATTCTCTCCTAATATTTTTGATATTTGTAAGATTTTGAAAATCCAAGAAAAAATATCTTAAATTCTGCAAAATTTTATTTTTGATAATGTATACAAAGAGAAAATGTTTACAGTTGAGATAAAAGATGGGCGCGAGACGCCAGAAAGCCTTATAGTTAGATAAAATAGTCTATATGGGATAATGGCTAAAGTTTAAGTTGGCCGTCACCTAGACTAGCTAATACCTGTGTAAAATAAGTTCAAGTTGACCGTCTACAAGGCTAGCTGCCCCTTCACTTCTGTCTGGAAGAACAGTAAAAACATCCTCATTTGATCTCAGTTCAACTCTTCAGGAAATCTCAAATTGTCATTTAAAAATAGAAAGGAGAACACTTATTTACTTTGTCAACCTTAAAGGGACTGTAAACGTGATTTTAAGTGACCTTCCAATCAAAGAAGTCCAGTTCAGATTCGCAACGGTACCCTTTAAACCCAGAGAGAATAGAATATATAAGAGTGGAATTTACTAGAAAAAAGTGTAAAACGGCCATTTTGTTGTACTGTTTCCATAATGCAGGTACTGGGTACTTTTATGTAAAATGTTTTTTAAAAAATCATGATTTGCACACTTTGAACTCCCTTTCAGGCTGAAAGGGACTGAAAAAATTCATACCAAGGGATTGTCTAAATTCCACTCTAATATAAATTCTATTCTCTTTGTTTAAACCTTTGACAGATCAACTAAAAGGACAAATGCGGTTTTTGGTCTAATGTTTAAAAGGCACCATTTAAAATCTGATCTGGACTTCTTTGAAAGTAAGCTCAGCTTTTAATTACGCTTATAGTCCCTTTACCATATAAAAAACGTGTACAGTGAGAAGCAGAAAACTGTGGAAAAGGAAAGGGATATCAAATCAATTAATAAGTATATTAAATGTTGTTACAAGCCAAATAGTTTTACAAGTAACTTATTAAATTAAATCAGTCTGTTTACACTGCACAACTGCTGTGTCTCATGTTCAGTGGACTATTTAAAATTATCTTGTACTCTATTTATGAATATTTTCCCATGTATAAGGCTGTGTACATGAGGGCCGGAACGGTAAAAGGTAAAATCTAAAAAAATCTATACAAATTTCAAAACACAGTACAACTAAAAGTCAGACTATTGATATGTATGTTTCACACATACATTTGTTGCTTAAAACGTGCTAGGTCGACTTTCCACAGGCTGTCCAGCCTGGACGGTACAACTGAATGCATATACAGTACATGTTGTACCAGCTCGGATCCTGCAACTTTTTGAGCAGCGGAGTGACTGACAAGGACTAAATTGAATTGTATTTGAGGTTTTCCTTGAGGTTATTGGATAATAGTTTGATGTTTCAAACGCGTCTAATGAATCAATTCGTCGAATCCTTTCAATCAACTGCCGACCATTTGCGTCTAAACTAATTTTATGACAGAGAATGTATTTATATTTTTGGATGCGTTTAAATTTTTAGAAGATACCTAGTCTGAGGCCGAAATTAATAAATTTGAGCCGCAGCTCAATCAAAAGTCATTTTTCCATTTCGTGGTTATGAATCAATGCAGAAATTATCATAGTTAAGCACTTAAATAAATAAAACGTCTTCTTCCTGATTTTTTTAATCAGATTAAGGTTTCAAGGGTACAATCGGAAATTGGGCATTGTCATCTTTGCATTTGGATTATAACGTAACTTGAAAATTCATTATCCTACAATTGGTTTAACGGTAAACAAGAAAAATTTAACATGAAATATTAAGTAAATGCTGCAGAAATCCACGTTCTTAATTATTTTTATTTACCAGTATACATTTTCTTATTTTTATTTACCAGTATACATTTTCTTATTTTTATTTACCAGTATACATTTTCTTATTTTTATTTACCAGTATACATTTTCTTGTCCGACTGTATATCTGTAGAGTAGACAAGAACAGTTTCTTTTCCAATTCTAGAAATGCAATGTTGATCAATTGCAAAAAAGAACCAATAAGTGTTTTATTTCTTGATGTTGATAAAAATAAAATAAAAGGAAAGAGTAAACACTTCAGAGAATCGAAAAAGAGATAGAAATAAAAAAATCAACTTTGAGTAAAAGAATGTCGGTTAAAACTATTTCCATTGAATTGTAGAGAATAAAGGAAAGTTATGTTTTGAAAAGGTTAGAAAAAATTCGAGAAATTTATAAAAAGAGTAAACTATCAACTTAGGGTAACACAAATTAGAAAAGTTGATAAAAATATTTTTTAGAATATTTAGAATATTACCCGTCTTTGACTGGAATGGGACCAACTTGCCAATACATCTCAACATAATTTAAACCTAGTAAAATATTTTAAATTTAATAAGAATATTCACAACAATTAGATTCAACAATTTTTTTTAGTTTTTTTCTTTCGTTCATTCAAGTTTTTTGCTTGATATATCATTTTATAAATTTGTTGTCTAAAATTATGTCATTTTATTTTGTTTTTATCTGAAGTTTTCAGAAGGAACTCCAACAATGATCATTGTAGTTGATTAAGCTAAATACACACGTACATTTTCCTCCAAATGTCCTGACGGGGCACTGATGATGTCAAAGGGGTTGGTTTAGTTGGGATTAATTAAAAAACGATTTAAAGAATTTTCATACGTACTGTCTGACCCCTAGTACACCCCAGGAATATACCTACGTACTGTCTGACCCCTAGTACACCCCAGGAATATACCTACGTACTGTCTGACCCCTAGTACACCCCAGGAATCGTACTCTGTGATAGATTCCGTGACTAGACTCCCCACTAGTTCAGAATATTTCTCAGAAACTGAAACAAAACAAATTAATGTCTTTTCTGATTATTTTTTTTTTTCGTTCCCAACAAAGTCAAACTGAATAAAAATAATTTTACCCACGTCTGAAATTTGAGACGCGGCTCAAACATGGTTGGTTTCACTTAAAATTGTATCCAGTGTTTCAAGATTTAAGTCGGTGCTCAATTTGATCCGGTTTTTGACGGTTCAACGACGCGGTTTAAATAGTTTATATTTTGCTCTGCAAAGTCTTAAAAATGTACAATATATTTTACAGCAGGTTCTATCGTGTACAAGTAATGTACACGACCAATCAGCAGACATCCATATTAAGGGATATTTAAGGATCCTTTGGATACAAAATTCAAAATCTTCTAAAATAGACTAAATTCATATATTTCATGTTTTATGTCAAAAATTGGAGTATCTCTTTAAAAGTTGTAAAACTTAACCCCTGAATGGGTGTTAAATGCAATAAGTGGCCGTTAGATGGCAGTAAAAAAACCTGGGACACTATTGGCCTCCTTAGCCTATCTAGTTAGAGCATATGCGCAATTTGGTCAGTCTGTGGTACACGTACACCTTAATGCAATAAATTCTGAACTCTATGTATAAATTCAATTTCCTGTAGTCTTTTAGAACATTCCACCACAAAATATGAAAATGATTTATTTTAAAAATGAAAATATGTTTTACCAAAATCCTGTTTTCCAGCTTCTGAGGGACTGAAAAATAGAGAAATTTAATTAAAGAATGGTCTAATCTTAAATCCCATTCTCAAAATATGTTTTGAGATCTTCTAAAAGAAAACTAATTTACCAAAATAGAATTCTTAAAAATTTAATATTTGTAAAAATATAATACCTGAAGACATAAGCTCCAGACGCTCTAATAATTATCAATCACAGGCTTGTTTTTAAAATTATGACAAATCAAAAAACTTTTCAAACTGTTATTAACTAAATTTTATGATTCTTTCATTTGCAAAAAAAATCCTAGCTTATTTATTGAACACCGTTTTCTTATTTGTTAATTAAATAATTTATAATTAATAGATTATTTCTAATTGTTGGATTGAATAGATACTTTCTAATTGTTAGATGAAATAATTTCTAATTGTTGGATTGAATAGATAATTTCTAATTGTTAGATTAAATAATTTCTAATTGTTAGATTAAATAATTTCTAATTGTTAGATTAAATAATTTCTAATTGTTGGATTAAATAATTTATAATTTTTAGATTAAATAATTTCTAATTGTATGATTAAAAAAACTTGAAATCAATCGATTGATGAATTTCCTTCTGCCTGAAAATAAAAATTACTATTTTAGAAAATTAAGAAATTTTTTTTTCTGAAAACTTTAAATTTGAAAATTAATTTAAATCAAATTAAAAACCGGGACAAAACTGTTCTGAGAATGATCATACATTAAAAAAAAAATTGGGTTTTAAAAATTGTTTTTATTTTTATTAAACATAAATTACTTTACCAGATACACCAGTTTTATTTCCATCAGCACCTGAAAAAAAACTTTGTAGTAAAACAATTAGAGTGTAGAGAGATTTTTTATTTATATTTCTAAAAATCCAAAAATATTTTATTATTTTATTGTGTTTTGAATTGTTTTAAATTTACCTTCGTAATACTGAAGCTTTACACTGTAGGCATTATTTTATATTAAGCATACAGTGAGTTACAAAATATTGTTTTTTTTGCATTGCAGCTCTCATTCTGGTTCATTTTTTATATTTTTTGACATTTTCTGACTCTAAGTAGGGTTTCCAACGTAATAGATTATTATCTTACGCATAATTACGTGTAGTTATGGGAAATAATTTTCATTTCGTGTAATTTCGCAGGATTACGAGTAATTGGGAAAATATTTTCTACAAAATAATTTCTACAACGTAATTTCGCGAAATTTCGTAATGATTACGCGTAATAAGCGAAACTATAATTACGCGTAATTGCGGCGTAATTTCGCGTAATTTCCACAACATAATTTCGTGAAATTTTGTAATGATTACGCGTAGTAGGCGAAACTATAATTACGCGTAATTACGGCGTAATTTCGCGTAATTTCTATGAGGTAATTTTGCGAAATTTTGAATAATTACGCGTAATTAGCAAAACTTCAATTTAGCAAAATTACGCCGTAATTTCTACAAAATAATTTTGCGAAATTTTGCAATAATTACATCTATGAAATTTTGAAGTTTTAACTTTTAATTTAATAAAACAACTAACTTACAAGGAAAATAATGTCATGCAAGTTGAATCAGAAATTTCAGCAAATACTATGTTGATTTAATTTTCACGTTCGACAACTAAAAAGTTTAACAAAGGGCCAACAATTTATTTTTATCAAAAAAATACATAATCTATAAATTTTCAATTTTCAACGACTTGTTAATATTTCAACCTACTTTCTCAAGTTTACCATCCTTGTTTGAAAAAATGTCAATAAAATCGTCAAAATATGTTTGACATGGTTGTAGCGAGCATATCCTTACACATACTTTCCCGCTATAATTATTTCTGAGAATAAATATGCACTTTATTTATTACGGAATTGTTTTGTATTACGTAATTTCACGTAATTACGCATTAATCATGCGAAACTAGACTTTCTTTCGTAAAAGTAATAAACGCGTTATTACGCGTAATCGCGTACTTACGTGTAATGCTCCTGCGTAAGTGAAAAAAGTGTTTCACATAATTATTCGTAATTACGCGTAAAGTAATTACGACTGGAAACCCTAAATCTAAGCAGCGTATTTGATTGATGGTTTTTATTCAGCGGTCTACAGCACTGACAGTGTGAAATTCTGTTATTTAATAAAATATTTATACTTGCAAAGACAAGCTTTATTTTTCCTTTTCAATTTAAAATCAATTTTCAACCAAGCAAAAATGATATCATCTCCTCCTTTTCTGTGCTTCAGGTCTCTAATTGATTGTTAATGTTGCATAGGTTTCGAAAAGGTCTTAAAATATTAAAATGGTCTCATGAAAAGAGCCATGATACCTTATAGAGCGTTTTTTTGGAACATCAGTATTTTCTGACATTTTGAAAGCGTAAATTTTTATTTTTTTATTTTTGTTAAAGGACAGTCTTATACCTTTTATACTCAGTTCCCCACCCCCTTATTCCATTTTTAGGGGCGAATTAAGCCTAGTAAATTAAAGGAGGGGGTGGGGAGAGGGGATATTTGAAAATTAAAATAATGTTCCTAAACTTAGATCTAGAAGGGCTGTGCATTTTCTTCACAACTTGTGTGACCTAGAAATGACCTAGTTGACATCATGAAAAAGTTAGATGATTATAAAAATTTTTGAAAGTTTTTTTAGATTTGACACGGAATGTCAAGTCATTTCAGAGTATATAGTGAAAACTATTTTTACCTTATTTTGTTTTGAAGATTTTGTTCCGTAAACAGCAGTGAACCCTATTAGTAAGATATCATTGGTTATCAAGAGTTAACATTTTTTTATCATGGTTAAAGGGACTAGGGAGTGACCGGCAATGTATGGTGGTTGCAAAAATATAAGTGGCAAAAACTCAATTCCTTTCTTTTGAGAAATATGTTCCTAAACATCTTATTAGTTTACTATATAATTTTTACTTTATTTTTCGTCGTCGTGATTTAATATTTAAAAAAACCGACCCTGAAAACGTACCTTCTCAAATTCATGAAACGTTTAATATGTCTCAAATGAATCCTAAACAGATTTTCTACAATACTGTATATTTAGTTCAACCACTATGCATTACCGGTTACTCCCTTTTAAGATTTAACAGAATTAGCGAAAAAAAGGTACCAAACTTCAAACCCAACCAAATTAAATTTATATTCTTTTATCTTAGTAACCTTATTTCATAGTAAATAGTTAAAGTTTTAAATGTCAAAGATTGCAAAGATGTAGAAATTTTAAAACGTAAGTTTGAGGCGATTATATATCTGATCTTTAAAACACCACACCACCAAAAAGAATATCAGAAAAAAGTTTGTATTAAGTATAAAATGGTTATTTTGTGTAATGTTTTTATATCTTTATTATTTACATATTGTATTAGTCTAGCAGACGATAAAAAAATCGTCAAATGAGCTAAATAAAAAAAGGAAATTACCTAGAGAAGGTACATCAAAAAGCCTTTTAACCAACAAATTTTTAAAAAAATATTAGTTTAATTAAAAAGAATATCGATGTAGCGACCCTCCATTAAATTTTAAATTGTGACTTGCACTCATGCAGACAACGAAGGCTATTAATATAATGTTTGATAGAAACCGTCTAACCAAATCTTTCATTTTTTTCATTTGTTCCTCATTTGAAAATACGTTAACAGTCCCTTTTTTCCATTTTGGAGAGAAAAGAAAGCTTCAATATTTAATATTTTTTTGCAAAAATTCCTAAATATAGCTTCATAGTTTGCTGATGAGTTTCTGCTTGGAATTCTTCTAACATGCTCCGGTATCTCATTTATCTTAAATCATTTATTCATTTCTTCATTTATTCATTTATTCATTTATTCATTTATTCATTTATTCATTTATTCATTTATTCATTTATTTATTCATTTATTCATCCTTTCATCCTTTCATCCTTTCACCTATTCATCCTTTCACCTATTCATCCTTTCATTTATTCATCTTTTCATTTATTCATCCTTTTACCTATTCATTTTTTCACCTATTCATCCTCTCATTTATTCATCCTTTCATTTATTCATTCATTCATTTATTCATTTATTTTTTATTCATTTAATCATTTATTCATCCTTTAATTTATTCATCCTATCATTTATTCATTCATTCGTTTATTCATCTCTTCATTTATTCATTTATTCATTTATTCATTTATTCATCCTTTCATCCTTTCATCTTTTCATTTATTCATTCATTCATTTATTCATTTATTCTTTTATTCATTTATTTATTTATTCATCCTTTCATTTATTCATCCTATCATTTATTCATTCATTCATTAATTTATTTATTCATTTTTTCATTTATTCATTTATTTATTTATTCATTTATTCATTTATTCACGTATTTATTTATTTATTTATTCATTACTAACAATTTCCTTCCTTTCATCTTTACACCAACTAAAAAAATGTCTGAAATAAATGAAAAAATAATGCAGGAAAATAGGAAAATCACAGTCAGGGCTCTGGAAAAAAGTACAGAATATCATATTTGGGTCCTTAAAATCAAAATTAGCCTCTAAAAAAGGTTTATTTTTTCTCCTCACCGATTCAAATAATTGACTAACAAACAATAGTTAAAATTACTTTATACCTATGTAGTTCAATCACTTCTCTCAGACATATTTTGAAAATATTTATAAAACCTGAATAGTTAGTTCTCTTCCATCCAATGTGTAAATAGATAGATTCGGTTCAGATATTGGAATTCTGAAAATAATGCATGTTTAAACTTTTGAGATCATAAAAGCATCTAAAAGGTTAAAAGTATTTAAACAATGATGAATTTTAATATGAACAGATAAAGCTGAAAACATCACTAAAAACTAGAAGGTTAATATTCAGGCGACATTTCTGGTGCGCCTTTGTTATCTCACAACTGGCTCTAGTTTAGATTTTTCCAAAAATGAACTTTTAATTTCCCAAAAGGATTGATAGGATATGTATAACTTATCTTTAAACTAGATAAAGTGCCTGGCGTTGACCGTGAAATTTTATAAAATATACTCAATTTAACCCTATCTCTTCTGGAGTACTTGAAAACCAGGATATGCTGGAGGGGGGGGGGGGTCAATNAACATATATATGCCCGGCGTTGCTGGTGAAATTAAAATAAATGAAGAAAAAAATTTCCATCTTGAAAAAAACATCGGAAAAGCCTCTGTTACCCCTGGGATACCCATGGGTTCCCTAAAAAAATGTCAACCAAATTGGTCCAACCGTTTGGCAAGCTAAAGCTAACATATAAATATATATACATAAAAATACATATAAAGATGAGCGAAGAGCTTTATTTTGTTTAAATAAACATGAAGCATCATCTGCAATTTTAATGATAGAACATTAGTATATTTATCTATTAAAAAAAATATGTATATATATAAAAAAATTAGATGAGAAAATTAAAAAAGAAAATGAAAACTTTATATTTAGAATAATCGTTAACATAATTAAAAAAATAATAAATCTAGAACAGTGCCGGCACATGTGCCCTTAAATATGATTAAAAAAAAAGTTCCAGCCAAGTTACTAAATATTTTTTGTTCATATACATCCAGATATGAAATCCTGCAAGTTTCAAAATCCTAGCCGTACGTCCTGAGATTTTAAGCCAATTTTATAGTTTTTCTTAAACTGTTAGACGCCGTCATATGTATTTTTTATACGATTCTTATATCGTAATGTATACAAATACTCTTTGAATTTGATCCTTTAAATAGCTTTTCAGTAATTCAAGTAGTTGGCCCTTGATTCCAACATTTTCAAGTTTTTGGATCAAAATATTTAAAATAAAATCAAAAGCTTTTGCTTTGTCCAAAAAATTCGCAACATTTTTGTTTTAGTTTTATCAGAGAGAAAATGCCAAAAGAATGAAAAGTGGAGAAAAAAAATCTATTTTAATTGTAAAGTTCATGTGTCCCTGTACATAATATATATATATATATATACCTGATATATGGGCTACTAGGATGAGAGAGTGGATTATAAACATATATTATAAAGTTCCTGTGTCCCTGTATATAATATATATATATTTACCTGATATATGGGCTACTATGATGAGAAAGTGGATTATAAACATATATTATAAAGTTCCTGTGTCCCTGTA